ATTATATTGTGAATAAAATAATTTTATAAATATTTTAATATTTACTAAACAAAAAACGTTTTATGTTGACATCAGAGCAATAGTAAACGGGACTTAAGGGAGTTAACACTACACACTTGTGTTAGACCGTTGAAAATCAGAATAAATTAATATATTTTCTGGATCCATGTAAGACCTTATAAATCGATATCGATTATTCATTTCATAGTCCAAATTCCATTTATGTCGTGTGTCGCCATGGAGGCTCTCGTTCTTTAACACACATCTTAATGACTTGAATCAAAAATATAAGCAGATTTAGACGAAATTTCATAGCAAATTATTTTGTTGCGCTTAGATTAGCGGATTATAGGTCACTTCGCGCCACTCCATTTTCCGCAAGAAATTCTTTTGGCTTTACACCGCTCTTAATCTTACCATGCGACAAAAATATGTTTTCGATACTCTTCAGTAAATTTCATAGCAATCATTCCTGTCGTTTAGCTGAAAAATTACTGTTGATGATGTGCTTAAGTAAATTCAGCAGATATTCGTTCGATCTTTAATTTAAGGCTATGTAAGTTCTTTATTTGATTTACTCGATGCCCGATTAAGACGCGCGTTTGAGTCGTAGGAGAATTCATTCGCTTGTGTTTAGGAAAAGATTTGCAGTAATCATTCTTACGTCTACACTGATCGAACGTTCGAGCTGAGTGAATAATCCAAGGATTGATAAAATTTTACTCAAAGTTTATTGGAAGCTAATCCATCTTTTGATTGAATCCTTCCAATTCGCCATAGCAAAGAGAACCACTTTCTTTTTAGTTAATGTTTAAATTTATTATTATTATTATTATTATTATTATTAAGCCTTTTCGATCAAGGTCAACGTTCAGTTTTATTTATACTTTAGGTATGCGACTAAGGCAATTTAAACTCCATTTATTTCTACATAGGTAAGAAGTTTACAAAAATGTTTGTTTACATCGCAATTTTAACGTCCTTCGATTTGAGTAGCTCCTTTTTTTACACCTAGGGTACCGTACGTGGAGAGATGTATAATACAACGAATGGTAAGAATTTAAAAGACTAGTATGTTTCGTAACCATGATAAAATAATGGCCATATATATCTTCGTTAGATTCGTTTAGTCTTCGTTTCATTTCATGTTACTTATCGAATTTTTAATCAGGGTATCAACTTGATGACTAACTCTATATCTCTCCTGTAAATATCTCAATATTATTGATTCATTTTCATTTTTTATGTATAGCAGAGTAGCTTCAAATATATATTCAACTGATTGCTTGAGAGTGCAGTAAGACACAGTTGAAAGTTTTAAGCTTTACTAAGTAGGCTTAAACATGTTCAAGGAATTTATGACTACATGTTATGCATTTAGTTGGGTCAGTGTAGGACGATTCTCGAATATTTAAAATCCTAAGAAATGTATACAAATCTCAAATTGTGTCTGCTAAATGCGGTGAAGCTCATCTTAGATGAAGCAATCATTCCTCCGTTTATACGAATAAAAGGAAAAGAAGTCTAGTTATGTTATGCCTTTTATTAATTTTTCCCCCTGTAAGTTACTCATATTTACAAAGCGATCATCACATTTGCAAAAATGAATTTCTAAACCTTGTGTCGTTACGCGCTTGAAAAGCTTAACAGACAAAGGGACGGAGAGTGTGGCTTCAGTTTTAGAGTTTATTGCTGCGTGGCTATGAATGCTTTTCTCTCTGAACTGAACTGAAAGGTGTCTCCAAAAAAAAAAGAAGTAAATTTCTAATGCTGAAAATTCGCGTTTGTCACCACCTGCTGTCCAATATCCAGTATAATGAAATTTTGAACACCTGTTTCTGGATGCTACAAATGAAAAAACATAATCTGTGTATGCTCTGATTTTGCGGTGATGAATAATAAAAGGAAAATGAAAATAATTTCATAAAAATAAAAATAAAAATTAACCACTTATTCAAATATATTCATGCTAATCAATTATTTCTATATAAATATTTATGGAATTCATTAAGTTCACACAAAAACATTCTAAGCGACAACAATTTGTTAAAAGCAAAATAAAACATTTTCTTTCTTTATATTAATAAATAAATATATAAAAATAACAATAAAATAAAATTGAATTTCAGTTTTCCGAAACATCATTTGCATATATGAATACACGCAAACATTGGACAACATGGATACATATATGCATAGTAAAAACATTTAATTGAGTTGATTCGTTAGATTTTTGTATTTTTTTTTTTTTAATTTAAATTTGTTTAGAATAGATAACAGCAAGCGATATACATATATATGTGTGTGACTATAAAGAGTCTATACAAATATATCTTTTAAATTCTTATAAAACCCTTAGCATTATGTTTAGGGTTCAACACATCAATCCCATATGTATTATATAAAGAAATTTTTATATATATCTATGTAAACATGTTTGTAAAAACTGAAATGAAAGTAACAAAAAAAAAAAAAAAAAAATATATATATATATATATATATATATATATATATCGTTTAATTAACTGGCATATGGATAGTGTTGATATTCTTCAACAGTGTTGTGCAGAATATTACTTTCATGCATCGTAGAAGAAGAGCATTTGCCTACCGGTTTATACGTGTACAAATCTTTTTAATTTCTCCTATATGGAATAATTGCAAGTGTAGCAATCAAGTCCATTGTTGATTCATAGATTCCGAGATTATTTAGTTCATTACGGAAGTTACTTGTTCTGCTAAAACGTTTCAAATGGTAGTAAGTGGTTAACAAAGTAAACGATCAATTTCGGTAGTGATTGATTTGGACTCTTCGTAAGCTTTCCATTACATAATTACCTATTCTTGGGATATTTGCTATCGAAATAAAAATTTGCATAAGTAGGGAAAGCAATTCTTGTTATTAAGGCAATTTCGTTACTTAAATTCGATTCATTTCGGTCAGCGGCCTTTAAGATTCTTAGCGATACGCACAGCGTCACACGAGTTGAAACTAAAACTTTTTGTATATATTTACATTTCTGTTCAAGAGCATCTTTAGCTTGAAAGTGGGAAAGACCTGACGTACTGCGTACTTTGGAATGGAACGAACTGAACAACTTTCTTAAAATCGCTCATAATTTCGGAAACTCTGATTTTATTATCAAATTCAATGAAGCTTTGAGTTGGAAAATATTGCTTGCAAACTTTTCAAATATTAGAAAATCATTTGAGTAGGAATGGCACATCGCTCTTAGGGAAAATTATCTTTAGGGAAAATATTTCATAAAATCCACTTCAAAATTTTCGGAATAGTCGTCAATTTGTAACTCGACTGAAACGAATTTATATACTCATTTTAAAATTTTAAAATAATTTGATAATACAATGGTTTAATATCAATTTCAAAAAGTTCTTCGATATTGAACAAGTTGGTGTGAAGAATATTGAACATTATTCCTCATAATAACCTTTACGGATGTTTAAGTCTGTTTTTCAAGTTAGCCTATAAAGTTGTCCTAATAGGTGTGCCTTAATTACGTGTATAGTTTCAAGTATTGCGAAACGGTTTTCAAGTGCTTTCGATTATTCACTTTAAATAATTACTTCGTCTTCAAAAACCTTAGCCATTTTCTATTTAATTTATTTGCTAAACAATCACACGCAAAAAGAAAAATTACATTAAAACACTTCTCCTTTCTTTTACTGAGCAAAGAGGAGGGAGAATTTCTATGTGTACTACCGACTGACTACCATAAAATAATTTTATTTCCTTTCCTTTACTTTCGTACAAAATGTGAAGTGTTGCTTAAATTGCTTAAAAACTCTTAAATAGAAAAAAAAAAGAAAAACAAAAAAAAAAAAAAAAACATGTATAGAGTACGGTGTTGACCGGTATTTGAAAGACAGAAACTATAGGAAATTATTAATTATCAATATTCTCACACAAGTGTATATATTTAAAATGGAAAATGTATGTACGTAAGTAAGATGGCATGTTTGCAGAGGAAGAAGAAAATTATATAAGAAATACTGAAAGTTAATTAATTGTTGAAGCACTTTAAAAATTGGAATGTTTGTGTTCCTAAGACATATACTGAAACCGTTCATTAGATCTTTTTTTTATGGTTACCTTATTTAAAAATAAAAAATAAAAATTCTTCTCCTCTACTTATTCCTTCTCCCTTATCCATCCGCGTTCCAGTAAAATAGAACTTGTTAAGGAATAAAGTGCTGCACTCTCCTCTGTTTGTTTTGGCTATTGTAGTTGTCGGTTTTACAAATCTGTTAAAGCAATCTCACTTGATTGCCGTCTAATATCGATAGTCGTGTTGGTTAACGCATAAACATTTTAACTAATGTGGCAAATACAAAGGTGAAGAATAAAAATGAAACCATGAAGATGACAGCCTTCTCTTGATCAGTAAAGCGTTTACGATTCGAGTAGACCGATGAAAGTTTAGTAACAAACCGCCTTAGAGCACCGGCATTTTGAGCATGATGATGATGATGACCGACGGCATTCAAATGATTATTGGCGGCTGCAGCGGCTGCTTGCAGTAAGATTGGATTATTGGCAAATAATTGATTGGCACTGGCGGCGATTAGTGAAGCGGCCGATTGATGTTGTTGGGCACTATTATTACTATTTGCATTACTTGAAGGAGAGGAATGCTTGTGAGTGTTGGTGTTGTCATGAAAGGCATGATGATGATGGTGATGGTGATGATAGTGAGGATCATCACAACCGGCAAAGCTGGCAGCCAATTCGCTAGCCATAGTGCCCAGTGGTATAAAGCCAATTGCATTGCTGCCTATAAGTAAAGTATTGCTGTTATTCGCAGTATTGCTTGAGCTGTTGTTATTAGCGTTGTTATTGCTGCTGTTGGTAGCATTATTGCTGGAACCAACACCTGAGCTGGTGCCCGATGTAGCTGAAGCTGATACCGAACGATGATGCAACGTTGAACCAGACGTGCTATTGTGTGGCCTGCTGTTATGGTGCGTGTGTGGGTTGTGATGATGACTGTGATGATTCGCATGATGAGAGTGATGAACGTGATGGTGTGCATGACCATGACATGGTCCATTTGCGTGGTTGGCATTCATGCTAGCGAACATTCCGGCCGCTGCTGCTGCATTATTCAATATATTGCCATCGATCTCGTCCAGTGACGGCAACTGTGGCACTTGATAACGGAATGGCGTCGTAAAGGCACCCGCCAGGTCTTCTCCATTGTTCGTAATGCGTATGGGACAAACACGAAACTGGTAGATACCACCCGGTTCCAGATTTTCAATAGTAAACTTGGTCTCACTACCGCGGTAGATCTGAAAATGAAAAGTTGAAGTAAACAACATCTTTACTATAATCGAGAGATTGAAGACAAAGTAAACAAAATATTCAAATTTACTTATAACCTGTGCTAAAAAATTTAAACTCAAAATGGGGTACTCACTTTTTTAAATTCAACATCTTTGCCAATCGCATACTGCAGCATATATTCCACTCGATCTGTAAAGGTGTTCTTGGAATGCTGCCATTCAAGTGTAACAGGAACACCGAGCATCAAATTACCGAAACCAGTAATAAAACTAGGAGTTTCGGGTAGAAGGCCTGATGGTATTATATTGCTATTGGTGGATGATGAGCCACTGTTGGGTACACCACTATTACTGTTTAAACCGGACGAAGATCCACCGATTCCTATATTTTGTGCAATTCTTGGTGCTTTAATGCTTGCAGGCAAGGTGGTTGAAGTGGAGAATATAAACTCTTCCGAATATTCGCCAACGCCAGCCTTATCATTTCCAGCACATATGCGAAATGTATAGGCGGTACGTTCCTGTAATTTGTTTACTTTGCACATGCAATTTGTGCCCGAGTATACTACCTGAAATTCTTTCGCCCTTTGCACATACATTTCTACGTAAAACTTGGTGAAATCTAAATTACGGCCATCACCCCACTTGAGTTTAATGAAATTGTGCCCCATGCCTGAACATTCCAAATGCGGCGGTATGGGAGGCGACGGCAATGTAGTAAGTTTGGCGTACGGCGAATAGGAACCAGGACCTATAACATTGACAGCTTGCACGCGAAATTTATAGGCCGTTTCCGGCATCAAATCACCGATTGTATATTCTGTATTGGCATCGGGCGTAGTTATCGTTTGGTCGGCACATTCGATGGAATAATTTGTGATGGCGGAGCCATTGCATTCGGGTGCAATCCATCGGAGAGTGGCTTCGTTTGAAGTGAATTCGAAATCTTTAATTTGAGGAGCAGCAGGCACAGCAGCTAAAGTTTGGGCATTTGCCATAGGTGACCATTTGCTTACGCCAGCCATGTTGCAGGCGTTGACCCGAAAATAGTATAAAGTAAAAGGCATCAAATTGCGCAAATCTGTACTTGTTTGCAAACCCTGATAGCAGGGATGAAAGGCTGCGGAAGGTGGCGGAGGCGGAGCGGACGCTTCAGTAAGGGCTGTGGCAGGAGCGGTGGCACTTTCTAGACGGTATTCAATTATAGGTGCACCGCCACAATTGCTTGGCTCTTGCCAACTAACGTGCAAATGAGTGGAGGACTTGACTACTACCCGCAGAGCTTCAGGTGAATTGGGAGGAGCCGCCGCTGAAGCAAATCGAAACCATGTCGACCAAGCACCAGCGCCAATTCGATTAATTGCTCTCAATTGTACTTCATAAGTGCAGCCCGGTTGCAAATCCTTAACCACACAATAAGCATCTTTGCCTTTGTAAATAATTTGAGGTGCGCACACAGTCTCAGATCCCGTATAGTCCTTTATTTTTCGTAATTGCAGTTCAAATTCCAGAATAGGTGCCCCTCCGTTGTATTCGGGCTTTTCTAGGCGAAGTACAGCTGCGTAAGGCCCGGGCGGATTATCATAATATGGATGAGGCGGAGCGGCAGGTACAATGGGTTCAGAAGTTATGTGACTCACCTCGGAATAGGGACTGATGCCACCTGGGCCTTCGCAAGAGGCTCGCAACTGGTATGTAGTACCCGGCTGCAAACGATCACAAGTGGTTTCAGGCTCAACTCCAGAATAAATGCGTTCGAATTTTACACCGCCAGCATTAATTTCAAGAAAATATCGCTGTACGTCTGTTCCACCATTGTCGGATGGTGGTTCCCACCGCACCCGAAAATGGGTACCGTGAATTTTACCTTTGGCTTGCGGTTTTCCTGGTCGGCCTGGACGTTCAGCGGCAGTTCTGTAAGTCACTTCGTTTGACCAAGGCGAAGCACCCGCTTCATTTTCTGCTCTTAAACGAAAGTAGTATACTGTTGCTCTTTTTAACTGACAGCACTCGTATGAGCAATCAGGACCATTGTACATATTTAGATAACCATGTCCCGATTCACGATTCTGCATTTGTAGGACATAGACACATGCCGCGCCGTCCGATTGGCGGCGTTCCCACACAACACGTAATGCAGAAGAGCTGGCAGTTTGTAAGGTAGGAGGTTTAGGGGCCGACGGCGGATTATCGGCTGTGCTGTACGAGCATATATGCGAATATAAGGATGGACCCATTTCATTAACAGCTGCCAGGCGGAAATTGTATACGGTTGAGGGCTGCAATTTAGTCATTATATACTGTTTATTTTTCGATTTCACAGCCTCGACAAAATTTATAGCGGACTGAACGGCTGCAACAGGCGCTCCAGTTTTACCCTCATCGTACTCAAGTAAGTAGTGTTGAATAGAGGAGCCATTCGAGGCTGGATTGGTCCAACGTAAATGCAGAGAGTTTTTTGTGCGCATAACCAAGCGAGGAGGTGAAGGCTGATCGGGTTCACAAGCGGGCGTAGTAAATTCGGTGGGCTCCGAGGCATTGCCTTGCAAATGTTCATAATGCACCTGGAGACGTACCACATATTCTTGGCCCGGCTGTAAATCCTGGACGATGCAATCGTAAGAGGAACCTTTATACAGACTTTTATATTTGCATTCCTTAGCTCGATCACTGAGCAAGACATTGTAACGTAATTCCCTCATATTAATGAGTTGATGCGTGGTCTCATTGAGACAGGGTGGAGCTTCCCAAATGATTTTCGCCGAGCGAGATGTTACATCGGTGACTTCAGGCTTTTGTATGGCGGATAATTGTTCAATGATCGCATTCTGATAATCTTCCTCCTCGTCATCATCGGCGGTGATACCTCCCATCGATGAATTGTCTTCACCATCTTCGGAAGAACCCATTACTGAACTCGCACCAGTGCGACTGTTTGAATTGTGATTATTGTTCGAATTACTATTGCGTTGATTTGTTTTACGTCCATGATTGTTTTGATTATGGTGACTGGTGTTCTGATGTGAACGCATATTATTTTTGTTGTGCCCATTCATTTGATTTTCATGTCGTCGTGGAGAAGGAGAATGAGCTGGCGTTGAAACAGCAGAATCTAGAGGATAAATGGTTGATAATTTAATATATTTATTATTATTAGCAATAAGTATGAAGTAAAAACTTACTGTATTCCCTTTGCTTTTCCAATTTTCGTAATAGTTTTGTATGCTGTCTTTGTGTACGTTCATCTTTGTGATAATTACTTGGCGATGATGGTGAATGATTGGCGGAATGTTGTGGAGCTGGCGAACTTTGCTGCGCATTTGACGCTGTTTGCTGCTGCTGTTGCTGCTGCTGCTGTTGTTGTTGTTGTTGTTGTTGCGGTGTTTGGGGCTGCGGCGTTCCTGACTGTGGCGGCTGCGTTTGCAAATGGGGTCCATGAGGTCCGCTATGAAAGTGAGCTGGAGCGGAGGTTGCTGCACCGGGCGGAAAACCTCCCGGTATTGGCGTATAGAAATGTGAGGTACCATTTGCCGTTAACTGAAAGTAAGGGAAAAGAATATTTTCAATTATGCGAAAAATATATACGCACACACACAGAACACATGTTTTTATTAAAATTCTTACATTTCTTGCTTTTTTTTTATTCCCCATATTGTTAAGAAATTCGTTAGCAATGAAAACGTGTCACATAACTGATCTATGACTTTCTATTTAGTGTGCGATAGAGAGTGAAAGCCACGTCTCTACTTTAATCGTTGTTCAGTTATTATCAATTGCAAATTGTGCTTTATACTGTTTTGCCGATGAGAAATATTAAACGTCAAATGACTTTTATAAATTTAGGCGTCTTGCGTCGAATTTTTGTCACTTTATTATATATGTAATTTAGCTACTAAAAGTATGCATGTTCACGAATTTAATTCATTCCTCCATTCTTACTGAATACCACACATCAATAAAGCTGTTAAATTGGTTTAGAATTTTGCGTGGACGTAGTGTTTTCGACGGCAATTCCTGAACGTTCGAAAAGGACAAAATGACTGTAAGTTAAAGATCGTCGAAATCTTTAGATAGGAAATGTATCAAACGAAACAATAATCTAATCGCCTCGTAAAGAGTATGGAGGATTTTGCACACAGTTGGTATAGAAAACAGAAAGAACAAAGAGTAGTCAAGTTTAGAAGTTTCCTACAAACTTGTGTCATTAACTTAAGTGTTTTATGAAGACGTGCTACTCTGTTAACGTCTAAGTGAATCGATATGTGACTTGTATGAAATATTGATCTGAGTTGAAGCTGGGGCTAAGCTAGCGATAATAGAAAAGGTCCAAAGTTGATCGTCGTCTACCGAATGAAATTAATGAAAGTCTTTAATAGGCTATACATATCTAGTTAGGTGCTGCAAAAATTGAAGCAGTAATTGATTGTCGTACGCAGTGTCCCAGTGTTTACACCGAAGTGCGAGTATAAGAATGAAAGTACATTAAGATAAGTAAATTGTGATATGGTAGCGTATACCTCATTTGTTGATGCTGATAAGATTTTTAGCGTCCAATTAGCAATTGATAAGAGATCCCTTAAAATATATTTATATTTTAAAGTTTTTAAGTTTTGTGAGGCGTGTTGATGAGAGAAAATCGAATGCTTGTTATTTGTTTTGTAAGTGGAATGCAAATTTCATTATCGACATTTATTTTCTTACTTGTAACTGAGGCCGACTGGCAAGTAACTAGAACACCAAGATATTCCAGAGTAATTATGAATAAAAGAACTTATGATCTTTAATACTTTTTAGCATATATTGCCAAGCAGTTTTTACTTATATAATTATTAGCATTCGGTGCGAGTGCAATTAGGATCCATTAGATCGAAAAGCAACTATTGGTCTTGTGGGTGAGAGACAGATGTCCTACCACTAGTCTGTATTATAGATCAGAAAAATTTATTGCAACAGTTTAATGTGCGTACACTGCGTGTGTGTGTGTGTGTGTGTGTTCATCAATACAATCTTGTTAATTGTGTGTTACGTTATTATGAATAAATTTTTACTTCTTATGCTTAACTTGTTCGCTTGATGTGCGTGAACTGTATCCGTTAGTATCAGTTCTATAAAAAACTGAATTTCTTATCTAACGAGTCACTCAATAACACTTCGCTCTGATCAACACGTTGCCACACCGTCGACAGACTTATGCGATTTCTAGTTAGCACCAACCTTTAAACGATCCTTTGATGAAATTTCAAGATATTGTGACATTTAGTTTACAGATTATAATGGTTTTAATGACCTCAGTTGATTAAACATTCTTCTTTGAAGGGGAAAAATATTGTTGACAATCTAATGGCAATTATTATTGCCGGTATGCTGAATTTAAACGCGGTCGCCCGAATTCGCCAGATATTTTAAATAAGTGCATTAAAATCATTTTGGGGAACCGAAAAGTAAAGTAAACGGGAGATAACTGACATTTTAAAGATTTCGGAAAGTGACGTATTTACCATATTGATTGAACATTTGCCCATGACAAAATTCTGCTCGAAGAGTGTCGGGGTGTGCCGGGTTTGGATTTAGGGCAATATTTAAACAAAATATAAATGATTCTTTTCATCAATGTCATCAATTTTTGACACATGTCGTTTCAAAGTTGTTCGGTCATATTTGTGTAAGACCAGCAAATTATTGAATGAAGCGATAGCTCTACAGTGGCATTATATGATTCGCAGTAGAAATGTCGTATGTTATCATATGAGGAACGACGGAGAAAGAAAAGAATATTTAAGGAATATGTGAAAAAAACTCATTGAAAGAAAGCTGAAGTAAGAGAGTGAAAAAATAAAATAAATATTTATGTTAGATAGTTATTTAGTAAAATTCATTTCTTTTTTTTTAATTAAGGGAATCATATATTTTTCTGGAATTCTCTCGTCGAATTCTGTAGCAAGTAAGGCAAAAATGTCATTAAAATGATTTGAATCTCATGCCGGAAGTAAATATTGAAAATATCTCCATTATTAACTAAGAAACTTTAGCTTGTTATTTAGCTGAGATTAGATGAGGGACAGTTTATGGACCCGCAATTGACAGGGGCTCAGAGAGACGCTAGGCCAGTCAATTCAATTAATTAAAAAGATTTAAATAAAACTTTCGCTGGGAAGTATATGTGAATTGTTCTTATGGCTCATTAAGTCAGTTCGTTTTTATTTACTTAAGTTTACGTTAACTCATATTTTTTGTAACCGCAAAGTGTTTTTTCGCTTGAAAATTATATGAAAATTATAACAGCATTAATCTTAAACGAAATCAAAGCTTTAATGCCGCACCCTTTTATCGAAAACCGGTAAATTTATATAAATTATTATTGTAATCGCTTGAGTTTTTTTCTGTTAAGCTGGGGTCAGAAATTTTATGATTGCAAGTCAAGGTATTTCAATTTGATACGTGTACGTAAATATATATTATACCAAAAAGGAAAGGAAAAAAGAAACGGCCCTGAAGTAATCAAATAAAATAATCTTAAAATTTTGTATTAAAGAATATGAAAGAAAGAAAAAAAAAAAGAAATACGCTTGCTTGAAAACGATAATATCTCAACTTAAGATTTTTTTGCATTATATCAAAAGTTGTTCTGGTACGGGTTATTAAAAAATGAAAAAGGAAAATAAGAAATTCGTCTTCACCAGAATTTCAATATCAATTGATAACTAAATTCAATAGGTTTCACCTATGTATATATGTTCATACAAATGCATATATACACGTGTTATCCACTTTACCCCATTTGGAACAACGTTAAACAAGTCAATAAGAAAATCTGCTTATCCCAACAGATCTAATAGATCTATTGACATAACTTTTATTATATCAATCGATTCAGAGGGTGTCTGTCTAATCTATCTTACGCCTGTCTATGTATTCTTGTATTCTTTAACTTTTAGTAGTAGTTCGAAATAGCGATTTAGCATCTAAACTTAGTAAGCTAAGAGTGGAGAATACAAGTTTATTCTTTGGACACCTTCCTATATAGGGATTTTTATGAGAAATATGTCTTCATATCGCAGAGAAGCGTAATTTTTGTTTTTTTTTTTTTCGCTCCTCTCATCTAAGGGGTTGTCATAGAGCGTCAGTTTTTACATAGGATCAAGATATAACGGTTCGATGAAGTGCACTGTGCGAAGCGAAGTGCGGTAAGGCATCAAATAAAAATGAAAAGATTTTGAAAACTTTCCGTATAAATGTGATGTGAAAGAGAAAAAAAGTTGACAACAATTAATTTTTTCAATTTTTATTAAATTTTCATTTTGATTCGTTGTAATTAAAGCAGTGCAGTATACTTATTATTATATACCTCAAAGTGCTTGTGGTACAAGTTTATCTTAAGTTTATGTAGCGCTTTATGTTGCAAAATTATTGCATGAGCAACCGTATTAAGCGGAGCGGTGTAGGATGTTTAGCATAATGTTTCTATCTGTTTTTCATTGTGTTTGCTTATCATCACCTGATTTTGAAAATAATCGCGATTGGCTTCAATTTCTCAAATTTTTCTTCGTAGATCAAGTTTTCTATGCAAAATTTTTGCTTAAAATGCAAGACTTTAAGTTGCCGTCAGCCCTTATAATAACAGCTAATTGACTTGCAGATATTGCATGCTAATCAAAGCTATAAAAATACTTTTCAGGGTATCTGGCGATATATATTATATCGTAATATAAACACATTTGTCCTCTGAAGGCAAGGCAGGTGGCAGGCGCGTTCATATAAAGCGCTTCTCTGAAAGCAATGTTATGAAGAGATGGCACGACACAATCGTGCATATAGATGTAAAAGTTTTTCTTTTATTGGGATTTTAATAAATTATTATCAAATCATTATTGTTAAAAATTTCTGCTGAGTAGGGTTAAAGTTGTTGGCAAACGAAAGATTCATTTTCATTTTGTAAGCAATGAATTGGCGCTTAGTTGACTATTTTTGTCTGTCCGTCTATTTGACTTAATGCCGTTTATGCTTTATTGTATTGGTAGGCATACATGACTACAAACACATACAGTCAAACACACTTATATAAACACTCATCCGCGCATAAGTACATAAAATTTCAAATGCAATACAAAAATTGTATGGCTGTGATATATACAATGAGAACCATAGGTTATTTCCCTACATATGCGTATGTCTGTGCCCATGTAAGTGTCTTTGTCTTTTTATTTGATTCATATCTGCAGCAATTCGTAACTTTCGCAAATACATATATAAAACTTAGAAATGCCCATAATAATGCGTCCTCGGTATAAAAAAAAAAAAAAAAAACAACTAGAAAAAGCAAAAAAAAAAAAGAAGGAATTTTATGCCGCATTTTAATGGCGCCTTATATGCAATTTATTGTGCATACGAATCCGAAGAACTTTAACAATTGTCAATTTAAGGCGATATAGTTATATATACTATATAATCGCACAAAGAAATGAATTTATTCTGCATATAACATACATATGTAAAAGTATTTATGTGCATGTGTATGTATAACTATTTTATATACTTTT